GGACATGAGGCATGCAACCCGTGGTCAAGATCAGTTGGAAGATGTTCGTTTACTCCACCACCATTGCACTTATATCAAACCGCACAACCGAAGGTTCTCCTGGATAATAATGTCTACAAAATGTCAGCAAGGTTCATGGGTATGATTGTCGCGTAAACGTACCGTTTACTGCAGCCATGACGAATCGAATTTGCATGGTATCTGTGGCGCAGGTGAAATGGGTGTAGATTTGCTTGGTCTCGTGTTGGTTGAGCGAGACGAATCGGTTCAGGATGTAGTCGCATGCGGCGGCGTAGTCTGGGCCGCCTTCGTAATCGGGGAAGTAGTTCTTCATTGGGCTGACGGGGAGCTTCTCCTTGAAGCGATCGATCTTGTTGAGGAACAGGATGATAGATGTCTTGACGAACCACCGCGAGTTGCAGATGGAGTCGAACAATGTGAGGGCTTCTTGCATACGGTTGACGGTTTCGTCTTCGAACAGCAGTTGGTCGTACTCGGAGATGGCGACCAGGAACAGGATGGTGGTAACGTTCTCGAAACAATGTATCCACTTCTTACGTTCTGATCGTTGACCACCAACGTCGAACATGCGGTAGGTAAGATCGCCGATGATGAATGTCGTTTCGGTGATACCAGTGGTCTTGACACGCGATCGGAGCACGTCTTGGTCGTTGGGAATGTAGTCGGGCGCAGCGATGCGGTCGATGGAGTCGAAGTAGCTATGGCTGTCAGTAATGTTGCGCGCACAGGGCCAGGAGGATGCTCACTATTTAGCAGAGTCGTTGAGCTGGTACTCGCGCGAGCGCTGGAAACACTGTTGGACACCGGCATCCTTCCACAGGACTGAGATGGCGTTTCCAACCTCCGGGGGCAGGCTGTCGCCCTCAATCTGTGCCGGCTGCATGAAGATGGTCTGGACGTGGTATTCGGCACGCTGGTCGTCGAGCGGCAGCTCGAGCGACTCCATGGCCTCAAGGATGACGCGCATCGACTGCACCGTGTTGCTGAAGATGATCTCCTTGAACGACTCGCGCTCGTCGCGCGAGTATCCACCCTCGTGGATGAGCTTCATCTGCTTGAGAATGGTCGACTTTCCGGATTCACCGGCTCCTGCGCGCTGTTAGAGGCTGCTGGCATGACGAGGGCCGCGATACTGACCAAGGAGCAGCATCTTGATCTCATTGCGCTGCATCATCTTGTCGCGCTTGAGCTGGTTCTCAATCTCCTCGTTCCTCTGCTTGCCCTCCTTCTCCTCTGTGCTCATTCCGCAACCCATGATGGCGGTAGGGGACGGTGTCTGGGGGGGTTATTAGGGTAAAGGTATGTAGTGATGTTCCGTCGAGGCCGGCCAATGCGGAAATCTGGTGGACGGTGTCAATAGGAGCTCAATGGCAGACAGGCGTCGTGCGAGTGCAAAAAGGCTGGCGACTTTAGCCGTGGGTGAGACGACTGGAAGCGATGCGGCGGTTTGCTTGCAGTGGCGCGTGGGTCCCCGAGCAGGCGAGACAGGCGCGACGGGGCCCTGAGGAGGGAAAGGCTCACCTGTTATTACAAAGACTACCTCAATGGCAGGAGTGAATGTACAGCGGTCGGATGCGGAAGGGATGGAGGTGAAGGACGAGAGTGAAGGGATGGCTGGCGTATGGAAGACGACGAGGCTCGCTTCGCTCCGAGGCTCAGGGTTGCTGCAAGGTCGGCTCGGGGGTGGATCGGCTGGGGGAAGGGACTTTGCCTGCTCGCTCGCCGACGATGTGTCGCAGCAAGAAACAAGAGGCGGTGCAAAAAGGGCCGGAGTTGCACTGCAGCGAATGGATTGATGTTATGCCGGCAGGAGCGTCGATTGACGTTTGGGAGAAGCAAAGAACGAGAGGCAAGTAAGAAGGCTTGATGAAGGCCGCGAAAGGAGAGCGCTTGCCCTAATCGTGCGGTACCATCCATGAAAGGAAGCAACGCCAGCTCTACTGCTAGTGCTAGCCTGGCCCGGACCACCCTACCACCAAACCCTCCGACCTGTCTATCTTGCGACGACTAGCATCACTAACACCTTTTGCCGATTCCCCTTTGCTGCTTCGCGATCTTCGCGACTTCTGGACTGGCCGCTATCGTGGGTGAAAGCCTATCCATGGCCTATTACAACTGACGGCGCCGCATACATGTGCACGCCCATCTTCACTTGCCCTCCCGCCTGTTCGTCCGCGCCTGCCACTGGTTCGCTCACCGTAACTTGTGATTTGCAATTGGCTCCTGGGCACGACAGCTATTTGCTGCACCTCTCCCGCCTCTGCCTGCAGGCCCTGGTGTCGCCCCCCTCAGCCTCCTTTGCACCACACAGTTCGACATGGAAGCGCTGTCGAGAACACGCCAGATGCGACTCCCGTAACTCCCGTCCCGCTTGAGTCTGACTAGTCACGCTTCTAGAAGGTTTGCGGAAAATGAGGACCCATCATAACAAGAGGGCCTGACGCTCGGAGCCGCAAGCGGATCCAGGCACGCTTGAAACCCTGAAGCGTTTGGCCTCCCATTTCTCACTCATCGTGTCTTGCATCTGCAGGCAAGAACCCAGCCTCGCACTGTGTTGCTCTATCTGCTGCTGTTCTACCCTCATCAGCAGCGCTGAGATGGTCTGTATCACTACTCTGCCAGCCACTCGATTTCTTCTTCGGCCAAGCTCAGACCGGGGGGCGACTTCCTCTAGCCCTAATCTGGCCTAGCCCTGCAGAACGCGAACATTCGCCAAACCTCCGCCGCTCCTTCATCTCCCCGACTCGCGCGCTTCGGCCAATCATTGCGCCATCAGAGTTTGGATTTTCCCAAGTTTCCTCGCCTCGCCTTTCTGCCGTTGAAATCGGCTGGGGCAAGAGTCGTGCGTCCTGATCATCCTGCCTCACATCTGGGTGGATGCGGAAATTATGCTCGCTCTGGGGTACTCATCATACTTATGAACGAACGTGTTGCGGTTATAACAAACCCTATATCCGTTTCGTTGCCATCAATCTTCTAAGATCACTAACTCGGCTTCTGACCATGGCTCAGCCGTTCCGTGTTTATGCTGTCTCGACTACTGACAAGCATCTTCCTGTCTGAATCACCTCCTTCTGGGATGATGCATCAACAGTCACAACTCTTGTCTCAACCCTCAAGTCTTACGCACAGTCACGAGTCAGACGGACGGGAGGATCCACGAACGACACGTGGGAGCAATGGCCATCCATGACATGAATGCCGCCGAATAGGGGGACAGTTCATACAGCGTAGCTACGCGAACAGCTGACCGCTGTTACTTCTCGTTGGTGGGCTGAAGCACCCTCCACGCTGTCTAATGTCGAACGTTATTACTTCTATTCTTTCGCAGGCACCACATCGCAAATATCTCCACCTCGTATGCATGCAGGAATCTTATCTCCTTGCGTCGTCGAGATCTGCGTCCTAAGACGGAGCCGGCCTGTATTCGACATCTCTTGCCCGTGAGCTCCACCGACCTACGCAACATGCAGTTGAAGTTACCCGCTTCGGCAGTGATATCTCCACATTACAAGGACGTTGCCGCGCATTTAGCCATCTTGAGGTCCGATTCGGGCAAATGCCGAAGAACATCAATATTTACCGACCAGGAGGTCTTGATCCTCTCGACCTTTGAACGGAGTTACAAGTCATGTATGCTGCAAGTGGCGATGAAGAATTGACTAATCGACTGTCTTTGTAAATGATGACCTGCCGTGGTATGGGTCTGACCTTCATGAATCCAAAGTGGAGCTCAAAATTGGCACTCGAACAAACATTTCTTGCGCGATGCTTTATTCGAACACCAAGAATTGTAGCGGAGATGATTCGGGATAGGATTAGTACCAATTGTTGTTGCTGTTGTCGCAAAGAAACGTTACGGTATCCGTTCGTCGATGCGCAAATACGACTGCCGGCCGGCGAGTGCGACCGTCAGGACAGTACACGACATCATCAGTCGAGTATCGCGTCGCCTTAGAAAGCGAACGATCACCAATGACGCGGTTCTCGGGTAGTCGCTAATGCTGCGCTGCAGCGTGTTTTCGTCCCACGTAATGCACGTAGGCCAAGACTCGCTTTTGGTGTTCTGCGCGAAGTTTACACAGACGCCGTGCAACTACTGGCTGACGTGGTAGGCTAGCCTGAACCCCAGCGCTTAGTGCACGATGCGAGCGCCTAGAATAGCATCTTTGCACCACCTCATCCTCGAACCGACGACTCTCCAGTCAATCATTTCCATCCAATTCTGCGAGCGCTTACCATGGGTGTCAATGACCTCAAAAATCCGCTATTGTGGCGCCTCAGCGGTTGCCCAGACAAGGCGCCGACCTGGCGGCTGGTGAAGATACCAATACATATTGTCAGCCTACCATCCCCCGCTTGTTGACTCTTGGATACATCAACAAAACTTCATGAGACGGGCGACGCGTTACGAATTTCCTTGAGTTTCTCTCCTTCAATTTCCTTGTTCATCTCGCTGCAGGTTCAGCGCTTCTTTGCATCGTCCCTCATGTCTAGATCTCTTAGTGAGTAAACACTTGTGATACGTTGGTCTTGAAAGATGTAGCTGACGCTGGTACAGATACTGTACAACTATGCTTATGAGCCACTTCCAAAGGCTATGGATCTCCTCAGTCTTCATAATATTAACCTCGTCAATGCTTGCGGCTCCCACTGTCGCTTCCACACCAAGCTCGCTCCCACGGGCGCTTCAACAAAACGTACCTCTTTGCGCACAGTCATGTTTACAGGCTTCGCTGGACGAAAGATTTCCTGTAGCATGTTCTGGTCAAGAAAATCTCCAATGTCTTTGTTCTCGTTATAGTAATGTTGGAGAGTCGCTGGGTGAAGTGGCTCTTGGCTGCATATACCTATCGTGCCCAATGGAGGATACTCAATCATCACTCAGTTCAGCGTACGGAATCTGTCTGGGACAAAAGGATGCGGTCATGCCGACGAAGAGTGTTCTTACCTACGTTATCACCAGCGCAACTCACACCATGTCGCCGTCTCCCATTCAACCAACGATAACAAACACGTCGACGGTTACGTCTACCTTGCAGACTCAGAGAAGTTCTACACAGTCCGCCTTCGCCGATACTATTTCACCACTCCTATCTGCCACTTCGTCGGCAACATCTATACCTGTTCCAGTCGCTGTAGCAGCAGAACCTCCTCCTAGAATGACACCCGCACAGATTGCTGGACTATCAGTGGCAGCGGTGGCAGCTTTCGTCATGGCCATCGGACTCATGGCGCTAAGTGTGTGCTTGCGTAGAAGAAAGGAGCGACGAGTGGTTTTTGATACAGACGAGAAAGGTCAGAGTCAGCGAGGCAAGCAACTTTCGACACAGTTTTCGCACTACATCCCGGTAGAGAGCGGTCTTGAGCCGCCGAACCAATTTCCTCTGGTGCTCCCACGAGCCTTCTGCCGAGGCAGCAAACAGGGTCCAGCACGTCCAGCGCAACGTCTTGGGGTAGGAACATCCAACAGCTCTTCTAATTCCTCATTACCGCTCGACCAGATAGGTCTAGCCATCAGTGCCGAGCTGGACGGAAAACCCCTGGTACCTAGCAAGGCCTCAGAAGCCCCCACTGCGCATCGACAAGTACCTACCTCGACTCAGTCGCGCATGAACGCACCTTTTAGACCTGTCAGTACGATGACCCAGGAGACTGTCTTCGAAGAGGACGAGACGTCATCGCACCGAAGATCTTCAATACTACTGCCCACGCCACCAGTCCCAATTCCTCCGATCCGCGCTCTGCAACCCTCAAGGCCTGTACCAAATTTTGCCGCCAACAACCGTCCAACAGGCCGCCGGTCCGAGCTGTTTCTCGATATTCCTGTCCGCCATGAGAGACCTCAGCCGAAGCGCATTGTAGCGGGAGGAATAGCCTCAAATGGTTCACCACAGCCCCCTCGCCCCGAGCCTGCAACACGCCCACGCTTGGCACCACCCTTCCAGATGACGTCTACAGCCACCTCTCATGAGTCTAGGGCTACAACTGCCAGCTCACGCGATGCAAGCACTTCCGGAGACATCATCGACTATTACTTTTCTAGTAACCAGAGCCGAGACCCAACACCCAAAGCCAGTCCAGCACATATCATCCGACCAAAGGAGTCTCCAAAAGCTGTGCAGATCAAGCCTAAGATGTCACACAGTAGCACATTGTCACGCTCTACATCGCGTAACTCGACAAACTTGCGCGACTCTCTGACAAGTCAAACATCTTTCGAGACAACAAACGGCAATGAGTCCACGCCTGAAGATGAGGATGAGGATAAGCAGCTCTCTGATGATAGTGTCAGCAACAAACAACAACTATCTCCTGTGGCTGAGTCACCTATCTCAAAGCTTCGGTACCCCAAGGTGCCGCGGGCGTCAAACCAGCTCGTGCCGCGTAGCCCAAGGAGTTCGCCACATCAGCAAAACTTCAGAAGTCCACGCAGAGCCCCCGACCCGTCGACGCTTCTTCAAAAACGCAACAACGCCCTGCCTCCGCTCTTGCTAGAGTCCCGACCTAGATTGAACAGTCCTCAGCGAGACCCCTTCACATCCCCACCACGCGTCACCAGTCCGCCACGCAAAGTTCGCTCTCACATGCGCAGCAACAGCACTGAGTCATGGAGTACAACACCTGCCTCGAAAACAGGTGTTGATCGAAAGAGTCGCGTGCAAAGTGGTACGTGGGGTAAAAGCCCAGTCATGTACGAAGAAGATGTTGTGAGGCCGTTGAACGTGAGAAGGAAGAGAGACGAAATGTCTGAATTGAACATCGGCAGAGATGCGGATGTTGAGTTTGACCGGGACGGGTTGAAGAGTCCCGTATGGGTGCCCCGACTCACTCCAAGGAAGAAGGGTGAGGATTTATTTCTTGAGGTAGGATGGGGGGACGGTGTACGAAGGTGAAAAGATTGAGAGGTGACGTTCGATTCTTGACTACATAAAACTTTTTCTTGCGTTTAGATTTTCTTAATGGACGAAGGGGAAGACGGGAAGGGTGGTGGAACCAGACACGACTGTCCTTTTCCTTGCATATTGTATAGTACGAGATAGATACCCACAGCGCTCATTTGTTCTTTTACGTAGGTTGAAACTGTAACAGGCGGTCTCAATCAAGTCATATGATGTTGTCCAAATCACCTTTTTTTCCCTCGGACCGCGTTAGTCTCGAACCGGCCTTGGCGCATGAACTTGATGGTGTTGAGGTCGCGATTAGCCAAACAGCGGGATATAGCAGCACCGGGCGCGCTATTTATCCAACTGCCTTGGCAGCCTAGTCTCACGTCGTGGTAGTCTTCCAGTCTTCCAGCGCGCCGGAGAATGACCAGGTTAAATGTCCGGCTCTAGTCCAGACATCTGCTTTGGGGGTTCCACGATTGAGCCTCATCTGCTCAGCTCCGTTTCGGCCGCGGCGCCGATTCCGGTGTCGCGGTAGCCGCCCGGAAGAATTCTGTTGCATCGTGTACTTGCGCGGCGGAAGTTGAGGCAAGAGATTGAAGATAAGTTCCCTGCGCTATCGGGGCACTGTGGTCCGTCACGTCCGTGATGCGGTCGTTCTCGGCGCATGGCGGATACATAGGGAACAGAGGCTGTTCAGGGCAAGAGGTTAGTAATAGACAGTCATTTGCAACAGCTCATGATAGCCAGGACTAGACACGGAAAGCCCTGTCAGCACACGGCGCAAGCTTACTAAAAAGAAGTAGCAGTGGGCATCCGTGGCTTGGACGAGTGGGATGCTGCATGTTATGGCAGAAAGTACGGCGACTGGTTGATGTAATCGGGCTTTGAGAGACCCCACTAAAACGTCCACTCTGGCGTTATAGTTGAGGCAGGCATGACGCCTAGCCACCCCACTATAACTACAAAACCTAAACACCAGCACATCTGCGAAACTTCTCTTCTTCAATCTTTTCCCCATCGACAGACTGCCCATCATGCCGTACGGAAAGACTGACGAGCTCGCCATCAACACCATCCGAACCCTCGCGGTATGTCCAGTAGTCTTGTTGTTTTTTGATATCGCTGGCTGCCCCACCACTATCAACAACTACCCCGCTAGCACTCCTTCTCCCAACAAAAGCGGCGGCAGCTTGTTCCAAGTCGACAAATGTTATTTGAGAGGCTCAATGGCTGACTTTTGGTGTCATTGCAGGTCGATGCCACATTCCAGGCAAACTCCGGCCATCCGGGTGCCCCTATGGGCATGGCCCCGGTTGCCCACGTCGTGTTCAACAAGTTCATGACTTTCAACCCCAAGAACCCCAAATGGGTCAACCGCGACCGATTTGTCCTCTCGTACGTACATTTCTGTACTTTCTACACATACAATGGCGGCCATGGCAGGCAGATTGAGAATTGCGCGACCGTCCTGGAGCGGCTCAGATGAACAGTTCCGGGTCTCCGCGGCGACTGCAGATATGAGGGTCCTGCTTTCTCATCTTCGGCCTCGGTCGGAGATCAAATCGCGGCTTTTCAGCTCAGATCTGATTCCACGCTGCTCAGTTGCTTGCATTGGCATTGGCGTGGTAGCCGTATCTTCATCGTACAAGATCAAGAAGCTGACTTTGGGCGTTTAGCAACGGTCACGGATGCATGCTCCAGTATGCGCTGATCCACCTCTTCGGCTACAACGTCAGCATTGACGACCTGAAGAACTTCCGTGTACGTACTCTCGACAGCCTCTCGCAATGCACCAGCGCTAACTTCTCTACAGCAAGTCGACAGCATCACACCTGGTCACCCCGAGTCCCACGACACCCCCGGTATCGAGGTCACCACTGGCCCTCTCGGTCAGGGTTTCGCCAATGCCGTCGGTCTCGCCATTGCTGAGAAGCACACTGCCGCCATCTTCAACAAGCCCGGCTATGAGCTGATCAACAACCACGTCTACATGTTCTTCGGTGATGGTTGCGCTATGGAGGGTATTGCCAGCGAGGCTGCCTCCACTGCCGGTCACTTGAAGCTCGGAAACCTCATTGCCATCTACGATGACAACCACATCTCCATTGGTAAGTTTGGCAGAAAGTTCCAATAAGTTCAATATCTGATGTTATACAGACGGTGACACCAAGTGCGCCTTCACTGAGGATGTCATGAAGCGATTCGAGGCCTACGGCTGGCACGTACAGCACGTCGAGGACGGTGACTCCGACCTCGAGGCCATCGAGAAGGCCATCGCTGAGGCCAAGAAGGTCACCGACAAGCCCTCGATGATCAAGCTCACCACCACCATCGGTTTCGGTTCCAAGCTCCAGGGTACCGGCGGCGTCCACGGCAATCCCCTCAAGGCCGACGACTGCAAGCAGGTCAAGGAGAAGTTCGGCTTCGATCCCGAGAAGATGTTCGCTGTTCCCCAGGAGGTCTACGACATGTACCACAAGCACGCCGCCGAGGGTGCTGCTGCTGAGGAGGAGTGGAACAAACTCTTCCAGAAGTACGGTGAGGAGCACAAGGAGCTTCACGCCGACCTCTCCCGCCGATTGACTGGCGACCTTCCTGAGGGCTGGCAGAAGGCCCTCCCCACATACAAGCCCACCGACCCTGCCATTGCCTCAAGAAAGCTCTCTGAGAGCGTTTTGGAGGCTATCCACGACGTCGTTCCTGAGCTTCTCTCCGGTTCCGCCGATCTGACTGGCTCCAACAACACCCGATGGAAGAAGGCTGTCGACTTCCAGCCTCCGGAGCTTGGCATTGGTGAGTGGTCTGGCCGATACCTGAGATATGGTGTCCGCGAACACGCCATGGCTGCCATCATGAACGGTATGTCCGCATACGGCACCATCATCCCCGCCGGTGGTACTTTCCTCAACTTCGTTTCATACGCCGCCGGTGCCGTCCGCCTGTCCTCTCTCTCACACCAGCGCGTCATCTACGTCGCCACCCACGACTCCATCGGTCTTGGTGAGGACGGTCCTACCCACCAGCCTATCGAGACTCTTGCCCACTTCCGCGCTCTGCCCAACATGATGGTCTGGCGCCCAGCCGACGGAAACGAGTGCTCTGCCGCTTATTACATGGCCCTTACCTCCAAGGGTACGCCATCCATCCTTGCCCTCACCCGTCAGAACCTGCCCCAGCTTGAAGGCTCAACACTGGAGAAGGCCATCAAGGGTGGTTACGTCGCTCTTGAGGATAAGGACGCTCAGATTACCCTCGTCTCCACTGGTTCCGAGGTTTCCCTCTGCCTGGAGGCCGTCAAGACCCTCAAGGACCAGGGCATCACCGCCCGTGTTGCTTCCCTGCCTTGCTTCGAGGTCTTCGACGCGCAAGACAAGGACTACAAGATGTCGGTCATCCCCGCTGGTATCCCATCCCTCAGTGTTGAGGTCATGTCCACCATGGGCTGGGAGAAGTACTCGCACGAGCAATTCGGTCTCAACCGCTTCGGTGCTTCCGGACCATACAAGGAGGTCTACAAGAAGTTTGAGTTCACCCCCGAGGGTATTGCCAAGCGTGCTAAGGCTACCATTGACTTCTACAAGGAGGTCAAGCCTCTCCGATCTCCCATCGACCGTGCGTTCCAGCAGCTTATCTAAGCGTTTGCGTAGCGTAGGATTTGCTTTCTGGAGGTACTTAGAGGTTTTGGAGCATCGTCTCTGGCTTGTAATGAGTGATGATATGTAAGAAGCGGCAGCCCGCTTTATGAAGAAGGGAAAAATACGACCCGAATAAATAGAATTTGATTCCCCCTTTGACTACTTGATGTTGAACATAAGAGGGAAAACGAAGTTGCTTGCATGTGAAAGGGAAACATGTTCTCGTCGCGATGTTCCGCATACTGTTTATGATTCTGTCCCTGTATATCGTCATGATGATCAAGTACCGTACATTTGACCCTTCATAGGTTTCTGTATATCCCCAAATGACCCCATCACTAGCCTTTTGTGCACACTCGTCCCATTCTCTTTATGATCGTCACGTCAGAACACGCAAACTTGAAGAGGAAAGATACGATCATGTACCTGCAGCTGTTATTCTCCCTCCAACGCGGTAACCTTGGAGTAGAGCACGGTGCAGAGACTGTCCGCACAGCCAGTTCTGGTTGAGTTCACGTAGCTGTTCGAATTACCCCAGTGGGCTGTTTCTCATGCGAGATGCTTACAGTGTGCGTCCACGTAAAGCGGTTCTCCAAAAAGAAATGACCAGACCTTCTGCTAGAGCAAAAGCTAGCAACGTGTTGGCCATGGCAGATAGAACAGACAAGTATACAGACGGATCAATTTTGTATTCCCATTTTTCCAGACGCCTCCCATGGCTATCACGGAGGACGAATATTGTAGCTACAGTACCTGTACGTTGGCGACACGAGTAAGTGGTTTTGGAACAAGGCTGAAAAGAAGGGAATGAAGAATTGATGACAATGACACAAGGCTAGAGGGCCTTGCGTTGTGTTGACATTGCCAAGAGTTCCAGGAAGGACAATAGATGTAGGTAGGCCATGCGTGGCTCAGATGAGAATCGTTGGTTGGGTATTGTTACGCCACAAATCCTTCGAGGCGCTGGAGGACGTATTTTCGATATGATCATGCGGAAGTGTGCTTTCAGCCACCATTTTGCATTGCAGTTCGGCTTCTATTCCTATTGTTTGCGCCCGCCCACTCACTTTCTCGGGCGGAGATGGGCTACTAGACTTGACTGGTATTGACTCGCGTTGTGCGTCTCACATTTTCTACTAACATGCTCTTGTCCTGAGCTAGACTGAGGTTTCATCGTTGAGGCTAGCGTCGTTATAATAGATTTGGGATGAGAAAGCATTGAGACACGATTGCCATGGCCCAATGAGTGGTGTAAGAAATGGTGGTGGTGGTGTATTGTCGATGGGTGGGAGTGGAAGCTACCGTGCGGTCGGCGCGCTCTCCTCCGAGCCCGCCGCATCATCAACTTTTTGCGACATCATCGCCAGCATCACCACGCATAGCCATGATGTCTCAGACCGACGATAGTAATGTCACCACTACAAATCTGAGAAGACAACCATCTTCGCGCAGCATATTCTCCGTTCCTACACCAATAAAGCAACTGTTCGACCAATTCCCACTCGTCACGTACCCCGTCAATGACTTCCCACAACGCGCTCCACGATATCACAATGCTCATGTGTTATACGTCTTCACTACGGACGAAGGAGCGATTCAAGGGGCACCATCGCACAACCCAGCATGCTTGAAGTGGCAGGTCAGCATATGTCCACATCCCAATACCCCACTACCAAGCTCACATTACCACAGGCGTACCTCAAGTTTTCGAAGATACCCTTTCGAATTGCCTCTGCAAACAACCATGCCTCTCCCAGCGGTTCACTACCTTTCGTAATCCCGTCATCCCCAGACCTGTACAAGCGAACACAACCCGTGCCATCCAACAAACTGCAACGATGGGCCATGAACAACAGTGAGAAGGCAATAGAAGAACCCGGAGATGTGCGCTATGAAGCATACCTGAGTCTACTAGACCATCGGATACGGAGGGCTTGGGTACGTTGACCACGAAGGACACTCGGCCCACAGCTAACATCTCTCAGCTCTACACCATCTATCTCTCCCCGAACTTCACCACCATCGCCGAATCCCTCTACATTCTCCCAAGCTCCCGCAATCCCTTTGTGCGCCTCGTCATATCTCGCGAACTACGTCTGGCAGCCGAGACCGAGCTCCTCAAGTTCTCAAGCATCATCAATGACGAGACGCTTTACAACCAGGCAGACGAAGCATTTGCAACACTAGAGGCACTTCTAGGCAAAGACGATTGGTTCTTCGGCGCGCAAAGACCGGGCTTGTTCGATGCTAGTGTCTTTGCGTACACGCATCTACTATTGGATGAGGGACTGGGCAAGGGTTGGGTGGACACGCGTTTGCGTGACGCGCTAATGGCGCGCAGACGCCTGGTCACGCATCGAGACCGCATACTAGCTGAGTATTTCGAGCAGAAGTCTTGAGTGCATGGCAATACCCGTGAGCCGTTGTTGAAAGTGTATACTGTATGATTGTACTATCAGAAACCAGTCATGAACGTTACGAACCTTCGACTATGCGTTCACAAGACGCGTAGTTCACCTCAACTTGGAGGAAACGAAGTCATGTCGAGTGAAGTTCGGACGTAGTGGGCGCTGCGGACAGTTTAGCGCGACCCAGGACCCAACAGATGCAAGCTATGACTCATGCTACGGAAAGCTGCACGACATATCGCCTAATTAGGCAATGCTGGATACATATCGGACTTGCAGAGGGCGCAAAGTAGAGTCATTGGCTAAAACGGATCTCTATATAGACTTTCGTCAGGCACTCAACATCTAAGACAGCATCAATCCTCAGGAACTTTACCCCACTTCAGATCGGCAGCAACCGTTCTTCGTTCGTTATCAGAACCTCAAGCCAATCAACCACCATCGCAAGTACAATCGACTTCTATCTATCCTAGTTAGGACGATACCATTCGGTCCCCAAGAACATCATTGATCAATATGACACAACCAACATCCGTCGATATGACCTTTGACACTTCGCTTGTCGATGTCAATCCGCCCATCAACGCCAACGCGTCGTTCTCAACTACCGAATCAGATTCAACATTAGATGTTCAACAAACATCCAAGCAGACTTCAACTTCAAACAAGCCTTCAAACACAGTCCAACACATCCCCACCCAAGCTGCCTACGACCAATGGGCTTCCATCTATGACACCGATGGCAACATGCTGCAAGCGATCGATGATCTGGAGCTTCGAACACTTCTCCCGCAATTTTTATCCCAGGTCAAGGATAGCAGTGCGACTGAAAGAGAGGTTCGTATCCTTGATCTAGGTTGTGGCACGGGACGAAATACCGAGAAGCTTGTACGGTATGATTGGGATGGAAAGAGCATGCAAGTAACTGGCCTGGATTTCTCGCAGGGCATGCTGAATGTCGCTGCTAAGAAGCTTGCTCCGTTGACTGAGGGTCAGGAAAGGGTACGATTAAGGTTGGAGTGCTGCGACTGCTTCCCTACTGTCAATGATTCATCGACTTCCCCATTGCCTGCTGTCCAAGGCCTACAGCCAAGCCATGCAGTCATCTCTACCCTGGTCTTGGAGCACATTCCGCTGAAGAACTACTTTGCCACGCTGGTTACGTTGCTCTTACCAGGCGGTACGGCGCTGGTTACCAACATGCACGCCGATATGGGACGTGTCAGTCAAGCCGGGTTCGTCAACGCAGACGGTGTCAAAGTCAGAGGAAGTAGCTACGTTTACACGGTGGAAGAGACTGCTGTGGTAGCCAAAGCAGCTGGGCTTGAGGTGCTGAGTGTAAATGAGCGAGAGATGAGAAAGGAGGATGTTGAGGGTGGCGCTGTGGGCGAGAGAGGGTGGAAGTGGGTTGGTACGAAAGTTTGGTACGGGATGGTTCTGAAGAGGGTCTTGTGAACTATTGTGAATATAATTGATAGAGTTAAGATATCCACATCAAATTATCTTTACCGCACGATAAACATCACATACGACCACAGGTAAAGGAGTATACTGGATCCCGTTTGCTCTCCACACGTCAAGCCTTTAACCGGCGGACTAGTAGTTAGGTGGGTGACCACTAGCGAATCCCCGCTGTTGTATGTTTTGTTTTTGACCATAGGATAGAAAGACATGATAGAGCTTGTAAATATAGTTCACCTGGGTGTATACATATCACTATCAGCTGCTATTCTCAGTGACTTGGTCGATGCTACTGGCTATGTGCACGTATCAACATGATGACTTGGGCTTGATAGAGACACCTAGTCCGTATCTGAAAGCAAGCATGGGCATCGGTGAGTGGAGTTTTGGCGAGATAGCACAAGACGAGTTAACTTCTGAAGGATAACAGGTAGAATGCAAGGCCTGAAGACCGAGTATAGATATCGTGAGTCGATTTGATAGTATAGTTCGTACTCTCATCAAGGACAGTAGCTGGGAGGCTTCGGCTCTTCCTCATGCCCTCGCATACTTCCGCCCATGTTCTGCGTCGAAGTTTTTGACCCACTCCTGTGCAGTTCCACGAGATGAATCTCGTCATCCGCCTTCCCAATGCCCTCTGAATCGACATCCACAGTCCTCATGATCGTTGTATTGAACAAACTTGCATCCAACATGCTCTTATTCGGTCTACTTTTCTTTTTCGATAATCGGTTGGGCGTATCGTCATCCCCTGGGGTTCGATCGGAATTGTTCTCCGTTGTGCCGAAGCACTTCGGGACTATTTGAGCGAGGAATCTTCGAAAGGCTGGCATAGATACGCATATGATACCGACGTTGATCTCAAGGATGGAGTAAACTCCTGACATCAGGTTGTCGTACATGGGGTTCGTTGAGGTGGCGTACTTAGCAACAGCGCTAAGACGGATGCAAGAAACCACGATAGTACTAAAGCAAGTTTGTTAGTGTTCGAGGTCATCGACATAAACCAGGAGTTTGACTTACATGCCACCTACGCCGAAGATTGCGCCAAGGAAGACTTTCTTTCGCGAGCTGAGCCTCAGTATCATCAAGTTCGGAATCGGTATCAGGACTATCGCGATATCGAGGCCAATGTTGAACGCAGCTGCTACCAAGTAAAACGTGTTTTGATTTATACAATAGTCGGGCGTGCTCGTGCCGTCCCATGAAGTCCATACTGCTGAGATAGGCCTGCAGGCAAACATCATCGTGAATGCGAATGCAATGGTCCAGAGCACTGAAATGAAGATGAATATCCAGATGAATTTCCGGGTGTTTTCCGAGGGAAAGATGCGGAGGAAGAAGAATAAGAACGCGAGTTTGGTAAGCCCACAGCAGAAGAAGTACGATATTTGAGAGCCGTAGGTTAACTAAGAAGTATTTAGTATAGTCACCTACACGTCTTGAGTTTCTTGTTCTTACCCTCAAAACTTTGTAGATGTCACTGTGAGGGACAACCCAAGTATCTTTTCCGAAACCAAGCTTTGGTGTATAGCATTGTATCACGGTTACAGGAAGACAAGCTGCTTCGGCTGCTATCGCGAAAACATCATCTAGTCCGAACGAGTTTTGGCTGATAGCGGAGTAGGTGCGGACGCTCACAGCGGCGAGAGCAATGGAACCCGCCGTAATGCCGGTCAAGAATATGACGTTTGATTGGTCTCGGACAGGCCTCTCACACATTGTGGAGGTGACGTTAACAGCAGCTGTGATGAGGCTCAAGTCAGCGCGATCGATGTAGATACTGTTGGGAGATCTTACTGAGTGTCTCTTTAACTGAGCATGTGCCACCCACACAGCTCTGAATGGCCGCGTTGATGGGTCCGTCGTCGCAAATGCATTGTATATCTGTGGGAGCGCATGTCGTTTGGCTTGTGAGAGCATTTTGGAAGCACCTGGCCTGGTATTGTCAGTATCATTCTCTCATGGTTAAGATTATGGAGGAGTTTGAACTTACTGCGCATGGTGGTAGCATATTTATGGCATCTTGTGCTAGTATCGGATGCACAATGCTACTCAACGCCGTAAGCCCTAGGATGAACACATTGTTCCACCGCATATTGAGCACGGAGAAGAATCTGGAGAAACGAGTCACAAAGAGAGCGACTCGTGGATACTGGTTCAACAGAGCTTAATACTTCGAGGGTGATGATAAAAAGCAGTGTGAAGTCAGTCAGTCATGGTAAGATGCCAGCCACAAACCCTCCACAACATCAGCACATTCGTTTCCATCCTTGCATCTACTCCCAGTATTGGATACCCTAGTCGATATCAGGGGGCGTTGTTTCTGATTGACCTATGTAGGATTCGAGTCGAGCTCTATCGGTGCATGGCAGACGTGCTGTCCCGGGCGGCTCTGCGCCCGGTTCCCAGTCACCCGATGCATGAAATAATCGGGACTCAACACGGGCCACCCCACCAAATATACTGCTATCTTAACACAACTACCACGTACCTACCTACGACTCTACAGCTGCATTGTTAACCCTAAATATTTATAGTATTAGGAAAGATTTCTAAATATTATATGCAACATTTTAAAGCTTTTAGTAGTGCTGTAGTACTGATAGCAGTGCCCCAAGACATTTAGGAGGCCCGATTATTTAATACACCGAATGCCAGTCAAGCCGTGTAAGAAATTCGCCGCACTCACAGATGTCTTGGCGCACCACAACTAGTACTACAGCACCACTAAAACAATATGTAATATCGCATTCGAGAGCTGAAAATTACTTTTGAAGCTGTAGAGTTGTATAGAAAAGCTATATATCTAAGTTTCGTTAAGGTTGTAGCTCAAATAGAGCGTTCAGGGGTTGCAAGCGGTGGTGGTTAAGACGAGAACATTTTGGTGGGGTGGCCAGTGCTGAGTTCGGCCATTTTGTAATACCGCGTGCTAGTCAAACGGCTGCACGGCACGATGCGCTAGCTGGACTGGGCCGATACCGAGATATAGGTCTATGCGGAGTTCCAGGGTTGTTTTGTCAATATATAACGTATCTCGGAGTAAGCAATCCAAGTAGCTTTCGAGTCGTGTAGCTACAAAGGCCCGAAGGAAAGTGGCATGATGATGCTATCATTACAATAGGATTTCAGCTACCCAGCGGAAAAAAAGATGGGGAGGCTTTCCAGGATTGCATCTATCAATGCGGTTTGGGATCCTATTGGCCCACCGGGGAACGTCAGGCATCTAGACACTCCAGCGTCAATAGTCTTGACATTTTCGAGCGCGAGAAGCGGTTCTGCAGCTTGCAAATTCCTGCGCTCCAGTTTTAGTCCGCGAGCCAAAGACGTGTCACGTAATTGAAGCGGCGTTCAATGACAACGGGTGTTCATGGCTAGTGTCGTCTCGCTTCGTGGCTTCGAGTGCGGGGAGAGACTGTCAACATCACAATAATAAGTCGCACCATATTCGAGAAGAGGGTGAGGAATATCACCAGCTCTGCAAAACGTGCCCCGTCTTCTGGACACGGGATGGCGGCTGAGGCTGCCATGGACAAGGGGAGGGATCGTGAACCCTGGCAGAAAGAGACCACTTCGGTCCACCTGCGTGCGGTAGCATCCTTCCGATTCCCCGGCACAAGGACGCACGAAAAAGCGTAGCTGAATACGCCAAATCATACAGTCAATAAACCAGTGGCTTTCAAAAGGACTCTACGTCAGCTGATGGAGCTGAGAATTCGGTGAGGTTATTTGTAACAATTCGTGTAGAGCGCAAACCATGGCCAGAACCAGAGGGTCTGCGGCACGCCCCGGCACTTGCAGTATCCACGCATCGGATCCGTCGCTCTTTTGAGTATACTAGTATGCCATGTTCGAGCCGTAACTCGCTGTCGCAGTCCGTTGTCTGACAGGGTTCACTGCAGAAAGACTACTGTTACCGATAAATTATGGAAGATAACACTCTCTTTCCCATCTTGGCCACGCCTTTAGAGTCACTCTGTCCTTCAACGTTAGCATCTGCGACATGGCCCTCCTATCTGATGTTTTGCTAGGTGCAAATCTCAGTACCCTCTTCTTACTCTACATTCCTCTCTGTTTCGTGGCATACTATTCCATCTGGATCGTCTATACTCGAACCCTCCATCCACTAGCCAAGGTTCCAGGACCGTTTTGGCCTTCAATTTCGCGGACATGGCTTATGTGGCACCATCACAAAGGCGACATCGAGATTGTTGAGCGCGTTCTTCATAAGAAGTATGGCCCAATTATTCGAATCGCACCCGATGAGGTCGTAATGACTGACACCACGGCCATCCCATACATTTACCCGGTTCAGAAGCCACTTGAAAAAACGGACTGGTACAAGCCGTGGCGACCACAAGGACTAAACAGCCAACCGGATTTGTTCACGCAGACTAACGAGAAGGCGCATGCGGCGTATCGAAGGATTGTTGGAGGTGTATATTCACTTTCCAGTATCTTGAAAAACGAACCAGGACTGGACGAAACATTGGAACTCTTTCTTGAGCGGCTGGGTAGTTTCGCCGATAGCAATGAAGCGTTTGACTTTGGTCTTTGGCTCGAAATGTGAGCTATAAGATACTGCCGACAGATTGTATGGCTAACGCGCGAATCAGGTACTCGTTTGATAGCGTTGGCGTCGCGTTCTTTGGCCAGGCCTTTGGCTTTCTACGCGACAGTGTTGATTACAAAGGCTACATCCACTCAGTCCATCTCGCAATGCCTTTTCTTAGTCTTCTGACGGTCACTCCGTACTATATACGACCATTCTTGCTTCTTGTCGCTGTTTGCATTCCGCGCTTGCTGAAAGCTGTGCTGGCCGTAGAAGACATTAAGAAGACTGCGATCATAGAGACGAAGACAGCTACCGAAAGAGCACTCGAAGTGACGGGAAAGAGACCCGATTTACTCTCCCAGTTGCTAGCAATCGTGCAGGAAAAGGGGGAAAAGGTAAACTACTCGCACAAAGAGATCACATCGGACATGTGGGTTGCAATGTACGTGTACTGGCGTAAAGAACCGAACGTGTTATGCTGACTGCCCACAGTATGGCCGGCGCTGATAGTACATCCATCTCCATGCGTTCCGTCTTCTACTTCCTAATGAAGAACCCCCAGAAGCTCGAGAAAGCGCGCGCAGAAGTTGATGCGGCCTTTGAAAATGGTACACTCTCATCACCGGTGCAATACGGTCAATTAGCTTCGCTTCCATACTTAGTAGCGACTGTGAAGGAAGCCTTACGACTGTTTTCCGCATTCGCAGTCTCGATGCCTCGGTATGCTCCTAGCCAAGGGCTCACGCTTTGCGGAAAACACATTCCAGCAGGCTACACCGTCGGTATGAATCCAGCTATCGTTTCGCTTGACACCAATGTATTTGGGGAAGATGCGCTTGAGTTCGTTCCCGAGCGATGGTTGCAGAGTGAAGACCGCTCGCGAATCATGGATAAGACAATTCTCGGTTGGGGTGCTGGGACTCGGACATGCGTCGGCAGACCTGTAAGTCCTACGTGATCGCATACTAAGGAAGTACTAACGATGCACAGCTTGCTTTGACACAAATTTACAAAGTCACTGCAGAGGTCTTGCACCGTTTTGATTTTGAGATGGCACATGACCAGCCGTGGAAGACGCATAATGCGTCTTTCAACGTCCAGACTGGTGTTGAGTGCAGATTCAAGCGCAGGGTTTCGATTAAGAACTAGACACTCGGTAGCATTATGTATTGACATAGCTGAGAAGGAGTTGCAGCCGGCTTTTGCTTCCTCAAGGAGAACTGCAGGATCCGCTATTTTATCCAATCGCAAGTCATGATGACGTCAACCTCTGCTCATGATCCGATATGCAACTTCAGACCTTCATCTTGCGAGACGCCGAAAAGTGTTTCTAAACGGCGATTACGATCGGCGACTTTAGCGGGCTACATAAGTCAAATAAAACACTACAAGCAACGAACGTTCATACCCAAAAGCCAGCTACCAGTTGAGTTCTCAACTTACAAAATCACTATCAACGAGACAACAACACAAGATGGACTCTCTTCCCGTAAACAATAAGACGGCGGGTGAGCCAGAAAGCACGTATAATAACACACTTGAGACTGCTGCGGCGACGACTCAGGTGAGTTGATCAACTCTGTTATACAACGACTCCGCTGACCTGATCAGAACTTCGCCCCAGTCAAGAGGATATGCGCTCACCTCAACGCCTTCCACGCATATGCCCATGATCCGAAACGCGATGCAGTCGAAGCAAACCACTACTGCGCACATCTGAACGATGAAGTCCGCCAGTGCATCCTCTACGACTCTCCCGAAAAGGGCGCACGAATCATCGGTATCGGTAAGTTATTCACTTCCCCAACAGGCAACCCACTACTAAACCAACCTCCAGAGTACATGATCTCACCCAAACTCTACGAGACACTCGAGGCCGAAGAGCAGAAGCTCTGGCACTCGCACGTCTTCGAAGTGAAATCCGGAATGCTAATCATGCCGCGTCCAACAGGCGTCCCAGAATCCGCATGGGAAGTAGCTGAGAACAAGGAGATGGAAGAAGTTGTAGAGCTGTACGGCAAGATCTACCATCTCTGGCAGACTGACCGTGGGGATAAATTGCCTTTGGGCCCACCGCAGTTAATGACGAGCTATACGGCGGCGGATCAGATGCCGGATTTTGAGAAGAGGATGAAGGAGAGGGACCAGAGGTTTGGTAGTGATTATCAGAGGAAGAAGGAGGTTAGGGAGTATATTGAGGTGCCGAAGATTCATGAGAATGCTGATGCGACGTGGGCGAAGGGGGGTATTGGACACTAGATAAGGTGGTCGGAGGGGATGGTGACGTCGGTGATGCATTTACGAGGCGTTGGTATGCGAAGGACGGAATGGCGGTAGCCGGTCGGCCTGCAGCAGAGTATGAGCTGGGGCTTAGGCATGATAGTATTCCCATGACCTCCATCCCACGAGGAACTAGGTTCAATAGCTCTTTTACACTGAATGTGCCGAGGATGTATCAGGCCCTGCTTTGCCCAGCATCTCTTTATGACCCGGTTGTGTTCTGCAGCACCTCAATGCCTGCTGGATCTTTCTTCTCACGCCCCATCAGTTTCCCCAGTACATCCTTCTCATTGTCACCGTCTTCGGTATCGCTCGCGCTATCCTCGTCGCTCTTCGCATTTGGGTCTTTCTCCTCGAGTACGCCTAGTCCAAGGTCCTAGACACTGTTAGCAGCGGCCTGTGACACGGCGCGGATACATTGCTTACCATCTCGATATACGGCTCACCCTCCTCATGCCCCTCCTCGGAGTCTAGGCTCTTCAGCGTTCCAGCCTTCTTCTGCGCCTCCAACTCTTCATTCGCAGCCTTCAGTTGCGGCAAAAAGTCTTTAAGGAAGCCTCGAATGTCTGGTCCGAGATCTTGGTCGCCCAACCTCATAATTGGCTTCTTTCCTCTATTCGCGCGTAGATTAACGACACCGTCTTGTGATTTTGGCTCCTCAAGCTCCATCTCTGTGTCCTCGCCATCATCCTCTTCTTCTTCGCTTGAACTCTCGTCGCTACTGGGTTCTTCGCTAGATTCGGACAGCTCGCTGTCGCTATCGGAGGTACCAAAGTCGCTTGCGTTCGTCGTAGAGTCATCTGCGGCGTTTGTAGATGCAAGGGCGGAGTTGGAGGACATTGAGGGCGGCGAAGATTCGGGTTCGTTGGAGAAGCGCACGCGTTTGCTGCGGTGCGCGACAGCTTCGTGAATATATGGCGATGACATACTCCTCGGTGGTGGCTGATATGGGTAATCTTATTAGGGACTGTTGGAAGTCGTTTACGCGTTTTGAAGTGGTTTACAAAAAAATCCGGGGAAAAAGTTGGGCAAGATTCAAAGTTTCAGGCACATGCGCGCAGATCTCGCGGAATGGTACCGACTGGGCCCTGACCTTTGCTACGTCACCGCCATGGTCAGCATACATGTTGCCGAAGCCAGCACCGACCCAGACATACACATATCACATGCTGGAGTATACACATAAAGATGGTGTATCCCGTCGCATGCTCCACAGACAACGCATGCGGCTCTAGATTGGCCTGAGGCCGAAGCCGACTCGTTGGTGTCAGCAGGGGTCGTGAAACGGCGTCTTGAAACGTAGTTAGAGCGGGCGCCTGCGTGGCTGACTTGTGGTCTCCGAGGGGTTAAGCCTCTTAAAGGTCCAGCTGGCCTCGTACATATCTGACCTCACCTCTTCTTGTCAATCATTACCATCTCACTGTTGTACTGTTCGACTGTACCTGTTCTTGTGTCTCTTGTATCTGTGTTTGCAAGAGTCGGTGTGTCGCTACCCCACTTCAGACGTTCACGAGCTTGAGAGTGTTTACCAACAGTATTGAAGGGTCAACTGCCTTTGGAAAAGGTTTTTGGTTACCAGTTAGCAGGTGTGTATTCGTTCTCCTATACATCTATCATTTCAGTCGTTGTCCGTTCCTATGTTCTCCTTTTCCATTACCTCAAGAATCAGCCTTAGCCTTGGACATGCACCTGTCACAATTCCCCTATCAACCTTGCCGTTCATCTACTATAAGCCTTGCACCTGGACTAGACAATTCTACGTCCTGTAATTCCTTACTGAATATCTATTACTATCGCGGTTTTGCTGCTATCGTGCCAGCATGCCGAGACGGTCTGATCTCAGCAAGCCTTGGAGCCCGACGCTGAGCGCTGGTTGGTCCATTTGTCTTCACCTCCCACATTCACGTTCACCACGACGGTTCTTTGCGTTCTTCAAGCGGAGCCCACAATGGAATTGCCTGCTGTTTTTCGTCTTCACAATTTGGGGAGCTGGGCAGGCGTAAAGACTTCACAAACGCTCGTCCTTAACCTTTTCCCATCCATCACACTCCAGCTCTTCACAGCCTTCACAAATCTGCAAAGCACCCGCTACTAGCTCTCTGTATCCATTCCAAAACCCTCGGTCATCATTCCTTCTCTCCACACCACTCTACTTCAAGCTACATTCACATCCATCACCATGACTATGAACGAGACTATCCGTATCATTGGCATGCTCAGGGCCTCTGCTGCTCACAACACTGACCACGACAAGATCAATGAGCGTGAAGCTTTCTTCGCCTCCACCGACGAATCCAGCAAGAAGCTCAGGACTGCTGCAGCTGCGCGCAAGCCTCTCTCAGTCTCTCTCCTTGAAGAACTCATCCACGCGAGCAAGCACGGTCTGCCCTACCCCAGCGAGCCCCTGACGTACGAATCCAAGGTCGGCATTGATCGCATCCTCGTCACTCTCAACAAGGCCATTTCCTGCGACGCTGCTGTCATCATCCCCAGCGTTCAGTTCAAGGACACTACCCAGGACCTCGCCAACAACCTCGCCATCGAGAACAGCAGGCGCATCTTCACCGCGCGTTCTAACATTAAGGAACTTAAGCTTATCAGCAGCAATCTCGGCATCCCCATCACATCTCCTACCATGGCTGGTCGCTTCCCGGTGCTCAGCACCTCCGACCTCCCCAAGGCTTCGGCTGAGGAGCAGTCCGCCACAGCATCGCCTGCGCGCGGCACGGCCATGCTCAACAACATCTTCAAGTCGGTGCGAGTTCCCGAGTTCCGCTTCAAGTGGATGTTCTGGGCAGAGAAGGGTCAGCAAGCCGCACCCAAGGACAAGGCAGCTTCAGAAGAGTACCTCACCCGCCCCAAGCCGCTTGGAGACCAAATCGTCTCCGTCAAGGAGTTTTATCAGCACTTCAATAATATTCCAGTGGAGAACCTGAAGCTACGAGACTCGATACACTTGTTCCATCTGGGTGTGAAACCGGTCTGGGAAGACCCGCGGAATACGCGTGGCGGCGCATGGTACTTCAAGGTCAGCAAGGACCTGGCGGCTCAGTTCTGGCATGAGATGTGCCTACTTGCCGTCGGTGACGTCTTGCAGGGGGCCGTCGAGACAAAGCGTGCCTGTAAGTCTTTTTGTTTCCACTCTTCTCACATATTTTCGATACTGACTATTCAATAGCTTTCAATGACGACATCTGCGGGATCTCGTACAGCGTTCGATGGAATGCTGTACAGATCGCCGTCTGGAACCGGGACGCGGAGAATGAGGATGGCCGTCTGAAACTTTTAGCGGTCATCCTCGACAAGCTGTCGGAGGAGCTCCGGCCGAAAAAGGAGGATAGCTACTGGTACAAGGCGCACAAGGAGCACAAGGGCTTCATTGAACAGTAGTGGGTCGGCTTTGTACCAGTAGTTGTTGCTCGGGTTGAGATGAGTTTGGTGGTGGAGATGATGGTTGGGCGAGGAGTACGTAGAATGGCTTTGAGCCACACATATAAGCATACCAGTATCGGCGTTGATGAATATATCCTTTTCAATACGCATAACAATCGGGCCTGCAATCCACCGACTGCCTCCTGCCCGATCCGACAGCCCCTCTTTCGTGACTTTTTCGTGCATCCAGGTCCACGCAGCTTTACTATAAGATCTCTGCCAGATCTCTCGGGCATTCAGACTAAGGCGCTGTGACTCGCCCGCATGTTTGCTACTATCGATCCATGGTGGTAGTGTATGCGCCAATCACAAGCATCATTCGCCGCAGAAGCACAGACCAGCCAACTTCGTAGAAGCATCATCCACTTCTCACGATTCTCCGCATCTTGCCTGCCGCCGCCTCACCACATCAACCCCTCACAAACCGCCAACCATGGCCGCGATACCTACCTCACTCTTCCGCTGGGTCGTTCCTGCCGCCATCGGCGCAAGTGTCGTGCAGAGCTCCCTCTACGACGTCAAAGGCGGAACCCGCGCCGTCATCTTCGACCGTCTGTCCGGAGTCAAGGAAGACGTCGTCAACGAAGGCACACATTTCTTGGTACCATGGCTGCAACGGGCAATTGTTTTCGATGTTCGGACTAGGCCGAGGAATATCAGCACAACGACGGGTAGCAAGGACTTGCAGATGGTTACACTCACACTGAGGGTGTTGCATCGCCCGGAGGTCAAGCAGCTGCCTAAGATCTACCAGGTATGTCTATTGTCCCCCTCACATGCAGATACGAGAAGCTCCAAGAAACCCATCTAATGCGCTGATAGAACCTCGGTCTCGACTACGACGAGCGGGTTCTCCCCTCCATCGGTAATGAAGTCCTAAAAGCCATCGTCGCTCAGTTCGACGCCGCAGAACTCATCACCCAGCGAGAGGCCGTCTCCAATCGCATCCGTACCGACTTGCTCAAGCGCGCCAACGAGTTCAACATCGCCCTTGAAGACGTCTCCATCACACACATGACTTTCGGTAAGGAGTTCACCAAGGCCGTCGAAGAGAAGCAGATCGCACAACAAGAAGCCGAGCGCGCGCGCTTCATTGTAGAGAAGGCCGAGCAGGAGAGGCAAGCCAACGTTATCAGGGCTGAGGGTGAAGCCGAGGCTGCCGACACAATCTCCAAGGCAGTGGCGAAGAGTGGTGACGGTCTAGTGTTGATTAGGCGCATTGAGACACAGAAAGATATTGCGCAGATGCTGGCGAGGAACCCGAACATTAGTTATCTGCCTGGTGGTAACTCTGGTGGCAATGGCGGTGGCTCGAGTGGCGGCAACTTCTTGCTAGGCCTGAGGTCATGATTGCTTAGGAGCGTAAGAGGCTGAAGGAAAGATGAAAGGCGGACAAGACAGAGCTGGACGAAACGCAAAAATGCATAGCCGGCGTGGTTGCTGTACAATATACTGACATGAGCGATAACACTTCTCCACAAACGAAGGAACGGAGTCTCTTCTCATGTCTCTTCTTTCTTTTCTCTTTGCAACATGACACTTCCACCGTGAGGACGTTGCCATTCGCATAATCACCTATGAAATGCCTCTACACGGTCCCCACATCGTATGTTCTTCTGGAACCGCTTTGACATTGCCTAGCAACCGCATGTCAGAATGCCCAACGCTTATTACTCAACATGCTTCGAGAACTGACAGCTTACACATAACGCTCACGGAGCAAACCATTGACGAATGGAGGGAGGAGTGCGAGTTAGTTGCAGGAACTGAAATACTGCGCTTCGGGTCGTGTTTGACACAATGCTCGCCTGAGGCCTCTCAGGTTTCGGTATGCCAACTCTCCGCCCAAAGATTCAAAACTGTTCATGCATTGCCTGGAGGAAACAAGCTTCCGAAGCTCTGATGCCACAAGTGAGGGTTCGCACACATGGTCTGCATTTGGATATTCGGACATCCGGCTTTGAACTCGGTGCGAAGATGTCGCGATGTTTCGGCATGGAGGTGTGGGGATGTTTCGTGTGACGCCGGGTTATACACTGGGATGCTGTCCGCGCGAGGTGTCTTGTTATAGTGGAGTTTCGAGGATCGCAGCTTTCACGTGTGAAACGAAGCCCTCAAGGACAATGAGGGTAATCGCACATTCCATGTCTGAACGCTTGCTTCTTTCCACGCCACTTTCACGACCATCCAGGCTTTGATCTTTACAATCCTGCCCTCTTGACTCGTAGATCAGTCACAATCGTATTCGGCGATGAGACGTCACGCAGAACCTATGTTCCAGCTCGTTTCGGAAGGCTGCTGCACCATCATGGCGGGGGGAGCCTCGTTACATCCTGGCCGCAGATCTCGACGAATCGGATTACGCACTTCAAGCGATCAACGAGACTTCCCGATGGTCTCTGAATATCTCGCATGAAGCAGACACCGGTTCTGGAGAAACACAGGCTTCTCTCAAGGCAGCGACAAAACGATGGCGGTCAAAGGACTTCAACACGGCACATTCGTAGGTGCCTACCTATAGCGCACTCGTGCAGGACAGACAGAGCAGCTGCGCCACACTACTGATACAATGCACAACCTTGTCTTCACCAGGCTGGAGAAACGATAGGACGAGAGAAATCGGTGTTGGGCCTGGCGTAGATGCCCCAGGTTAACAAGCGGCAGGTTGTCGTGGCTGTGCACTTCAACAAGCTGTCAGCCAGCGAATCACACAGGGTGTGGCCATACAACGTGGCTTGACCCTCCCCTTTCCTCGAGGCAGGCTCACCAGCAGGCACTCTCCAGTCTGCTCCGCCCTTGGATGTTCCAAGTATATACATACTAGCCATGAACGCAAGAGGCGAAGGTTGCGTACACGTCTCTACTTACGTCTTCGGACCGCCCGTCTCGCTTAGCAATGGCGATCCAACAGCGCAACAAGCAAACGAGCATCATCCTCACCTTTAGAATTCTTCAATTTGTCAAACAGCTTCGTCGACGTGTCAAGCCGCGTGTGCTCAAAGGCTCAATCGATGCGAACGCTCTTGGCAGCAGAGTCTCGCCAAGCCTCCGAAGTATTGCCAACGGTCTATCGCGGATCAGCGTCCAGGATGCGAAGCAGTCGCGTCGTGTCGCCCATCGCATCTGCAAGTGTCAGCACAAGAATCTGGAGCTGAACCGATCGTCGCGCAAGCTGCAGACGCCGGGTTCGGCTGCTCCCGCGAGTCGAAACCTAGGGGATGAGGTGCAACAGTACGTTCATGTAAACTTTTGTTTAGTTTCAACTACTAAACCTCCGGCCCTAGTATGCTTCGCTCGGTCGACGGCAAGCTCCATGCCGCAGGAAATACCTTCTCGTCTATTGCGGGTAGCAACAAACTTTTCCTCAAACACCACAATGCGCCGATCTTTGAGGCTTGTTCCCTGAACGAAACTATACAGATCCTCGTGGCAGTACACGAAGCGATCAACGTGCTTGCGGAGTGTCGCCGGCAGTATAGTGACGACTGGCTCTTGGCCCAAGGGCTTGACGCTGGACTTATCCTTGACGAAAACTTCATTGCCAACTATGAACATCTATTGCTGCGACTGCAGACAGACCTCATCGGGGCCTTGGCACAGAAAGTATTCAAGGAGCTACTCCACGGTGATCACGACAAGAAGCAGCGCAAACTACTAGCATGGTTCACTGAATTCGCCGAGAAGCCCCAAGCTCTCAGCACCTTTCCATGGACAATCAAACCCTCGCTAGCTGTACTTTGGGGAGTGTGCTGGATGTTCTATGACGAACAGACGAATCGCAACAAAGACCGCGTGCGATACGACGCAGTGCTGCAAAACCTCAATCTTTCGTGGGATACGGGTGCATCGTCCGACTGTATGTGTTACATTTCTCCTCGCCCAATGAGGCTTCCTACTTAGGTGGACAAGTTGTTAAGGTTTGTGGCTGTCCAGTCGATCGGTGCTAACGCATTACAGACCTCAGCCTCGGCCGCGAGCTGATTGGCGAACAGCCGCAGCATGCGACGCGTGCGACAAACGGGAATGTGGGCCATGATCTGTTCCAGGCACGAAACACGGAAACCTGGGAGCCCGATCTGAGTTCGGATGGTCTTACGAGCAGGCTGCCAGTCTTGAGGGTCAGTCAGGCTGGAGGAGCGGAGCCATCGCCGCGACCAGGTAAGTGCCTAGTGTCCCGTGTCCGTTTGAGTTGAGTCACGAACGGTTACCTACCCTGGTTTCAGGCTGGAGTAATCCATACCTAGGTAGCTGCAGCTAACAGATCCAAATCCAGATACTTATTATCGCTCTGCCGCCCAAGACTATCAGGCAGTTCCGCCCGTTAATTTTTATTTGCCTCAAGATCCAGGCATTGCTGCGCCACCTCTAACGGCCTTTCCGCATCTGGGCTCCGACCACCATAATTCTTGGCATCCACAGTATACGTTGCCACCTCAAGACAGTCCGCGTCATCTGATCACATCTACTCCAGTTCCGAGAGTTAGAGTCACCGGAGCGACGGAAAGCAATCCTTTTGCTCAGCCACAAACTGTCTTCGCGTCTTCTGGTATATATCGACCAAGTCGCCAACCTGAGGCCCAGCAGCAGTGCTTTGACCCCCAATACTTCAGCATATACCCTCAAGACATCATGACCGAGCTATCGCCAGATCCTGCTCCCATGCAAGTCCCGCACGAGCATAAGCGAAATATTTCGATCAACTCGCTCACCGATATGCCTACACCAGTCAGCATGAGCGGTCCTCGGTCTCCCCTAACATCTCCAACTGCTGGCGAACGACCGATAATAATCACAAGCCCGCCACGAAGTCACAGCAGAGGGATTTCTGTGGATTCCTCACAAGATGGTGACGATGACGGATCACTACGGAAGAACCACAGCTACAAACGCGCCGAAGAACCGCCGCGCAACGAAGACGGCAAGATGGTTTGCAAGTATCAAGAATGCCGTGGTACATC